ATTTTGCTTTTGAGAAAAATCCAACAAGGGGTATTAATAACAGCAAAAAGTGGCTTTAAAAAAAACTAAAAACTCAATTTTTTCTCAGATTCCGAGGGCTTTCATGATCCATATTCCCTAAATAGCAGGTCTTACTTTCTGGCTGCTTGGTCTTAAGATACAGCACTTAACTTCCTCAGGCCTGGGTTTCCTTCTCAGTGAGCAGCCAATACAAAGGCAGGCTCTAACAGAATGTGTGTGAAGTTAAGTAAGATACGTGCATGAAGCTACCTAGTGCACTGCCTGGCATACAGCAGGTGCTCCAGGAAATGGCGCAAGGGCTGGAAATCAAGAGCATGGATGGATATAAGACTCTGTGATTAACTGTGTGTTATTCAGCCACTGTCAGGTTAAGCCACTGTCAAGTAATCCTGAATTTCCCGGCTCTTACTGGCATTCTACCCTACTGTTAGGTCATCTTCAGACACATTCTGCAGGATGCAGTGGCTCATCCTTGTAATCCTAGGTACTCAGGAGGTAGAGATCATTACAACTGCAATTCAAGGCCAGCCAGGGAAAAAAGTTTGCAAGATTCCATCACGACCAATAGCTGTGCGTGGTGGTGTGTGCCTATCGCCCTAGCTTTGTAGGAAGTGTAAGTGCGAGACCTATCTCAAAAGCAGCCACAGCAAAAAGGGCTGGGAGCATGGCTCAAGCAGTAGAGCACTTACCTAGTAAGCATGTGGCCCTGAATTCAACACCAGGACTGCAATAAATAAGGAAATAAATGAATGAACGAATAAACAAATAAGTCAACAAAAAATCTCATATTCTATCTTCCCACTAACTTGAAAACCTGTAGGGGTGAGGGACAAGGTTCCATTAAGTTGAAGTGCATTATTTTAGACCCATTTTCAGTGAAAATCATCAGGGGCTTTTCTCCTTTCCTCAGGGGCTGATGAAAAGCACTGTGGCAGTAAAGGCAATCTTATTACTTTACCCCAAATCAAAGATTCTCATTTTCTCTCTCTTCTAGGCAGGCACTCTTACAACTTGAGCCACTCTACCAGCTTCATTTTCTTTCTCTTCTAACCCTGTGTTCAGTCCTTAATGCCCAAATCTCCAAAGGAAGCCTAATTGTACATTCCAGATCCCTTGACATCCCAAGATTATGGGTTTTGTTGTTGTTTGGTGGTGGTACTGAGATCTGAACTCAGGGCTTCATGCTCACTCGGCAAGCACTTTATCATTTGAGCCACAAACTTTTTGCTTTACTTTGTTTTTAGATAGGATCTCACTTGGCCTTGGACTGCAGTCCTACCTCTGCCTCCCATGTACCTGAGATTACAGATTTGTGCTATCACTCTGTGCTTGGTTTTTTTTTTTTAATTAGTTTTGTTTGTTTCATTGTTCTTTGTGGCTGTGTCACTTGTGGTTAAAAGTGACATCGTCACTTTTAAAAGGACTGCCTATGATTGGCAGGCAGCCCAGTTATACAGGGGCATATGCCCTGGCATATGTACCATGTGGTACGTATGTACCATGCGCAGGTCCACTGGGGGCTGAAAGGCAACATGTGGGCTTGTTTTTGTGATATGGTCTCACTAACTTTTTTGCCTGGGCTGTCCTTTAAACTATGATTCTCCTATCTCTGCCTCCCAAGTAGCTGGGATTACAGACATGAGCCATCACATCCAGCCCCAGCATTATGCTTTTAACAGAAGTCTCATTGTACTAAGGGGCTCAAATTTGCTATAACTTCCCAGTTTTCATTCATTCATTCATTTCTTTATAATATCATTACTCACACATACTTCTAGGCCGTATGGTATGTAACAATGAAGAAGATGACATGTACAACTATCTTAAACAAACAAAAATATCTTTTTTCAAAAACAAAGGACAGGAAGGTAAAACAGGTCCCATCTTGGGTTTAGTACCAGTGGGAGGGGGGAGGATATAAGGAAAGGGTATAGGAGGGTGAATACAGTGGAAATATTATGTACTAATGTATGGAAATGGAAAAATAATACCTGGTACAACTATTCTAGGAAGGGGGAGGGGGATGAAGGAGAATGATGGAGGGATGAATTTAACTAAGATATATTGTAAGCACTTTTGTAAATGTCACAATATACCCCCAGTACAATAATAATTAAAATAAAATCTAAAAAAAGATGACAAAGTTACTTCTCATGAAAATTATAAACTGGGTCGGGAAGAGGCAGACAATAATCAGATAATAATATGATAAGCCAGATTTTAATATGTGTGATGAAGCAAAGAGGTAGTGCAAGGGCATTAGGAGTGATATAAAGGTGAGCTGCTATTTTAAGACAGCAGTCAAACAAATTCTATGAGATAAAGAAACATGTGGAGAAGGGTGAGGGAAAAGCTCTGTAGGTCACCACTCTAAGTGACAAGGCGCTGACACATGAGCTTGCTCAGCATCTATGAAGAATAGCAAGGCAGGTCAAAGTATCTGGATAAAGTCACAAGGTGGAGAGCAGTGGATGAGGACTGTAAGTGGAGACAGATCGATGTAAAGCCATTGTAATAAAAAATGATACTTTTATTTCAGTGGAGATGGGAAGCATAGAAAAGTTTTAACAAAGGACAGACATGAGCTGAAAAATATTGCACAAACACTCCACCTATTCAGGGAGGAACAGGAAGGGGCAAGAAAGACATTACTTGTAGAAGCAGAGAGCCCTTAACAACTCTCATGATTTGCCAAGCAGGAAATGCTGAAGCTTTTAGGAAAGCAATTGAAGTGGTTGGGATAGTGAGAGGAGCCTGGAATGTGGGTATATTTTAAGGTAAAGCTAAAAGGATGTGCTGATAGAGCAGATGTAGAATATGAAAGAGTCAGCAGAGAAGGCTGACTCCATTGGCTGGGTCCTCAGCAACTGTTAAGAATGGAGTTGCCAGCATGGCACTGGCTGGCACTTGTAAACCTAGCTACTTGGAAGACTGAGATTGGGAGGATTGCTGTCCGAGACCACCCTCAACATATTCCAAATTCACCAGAACAAAATGGACTGGAGGTGTGGCTCAAGTGGTAGACCTCCTGCTTTTGCTTTGGGAGCATGAAGCCCTGAGTTCAAACCCCAGTCCCACAAAAAAAAGAAAGAATGAAAGTTGCCATTAACTGGGATGGGAACAGTATGGAAAGCACAGATGTTGGATGTGTTTAGTATGAGACCCCTGCTAAACACCCAATGGGTCTATGCACTAGAAAGTAAGATGACTGCATCTAGAATTCAGGAGACAAGTCAGTTAGAGAGGAGTATTTCACAGTTTTCTCTACACAGCTGGTATTTCAAACCTTGAAGCTGGTTGACACTAGCAAGGATAGCCAGAGAAGGAATCATAGTACTGGGTGAGAACTAAACTCTGGGAAATTCCATGTGCACATATTTCTAAACTGAGGTCAGAAAATGAGTGTCTGTATGGTAACACTGAGGGATACCTCTGATCTGAAAACAGAAAAGAAGGTATTTCCCAGTTACTCGGTGTAACTGGAGGAAAATTTAGATACAGGCAGACTCATCTGGGGGCTACACAAATGGAAGTGATCTGTTCGTTGCTACCAATTCTTTTTCAGTGACATGAGGCAAGAATAATTTAGTGAGTGAACTGACCACCAAGAGGTAGTAGGGGGTAAATTTGGATATTATAAATGTGTATTAGTCAGCATGTGAGTTTTTCCCGAAGACCTTTTTAGCCACCAGGGTAGGCACAAGCAAGTAGAAACAAATGCTATACAACAGACAAAACGCTGTGCCACTTGTACCTAGGGGTCACTTATTCATTCAAAACAAAGTTCTTGTCCACCTGCTGTTGGACAAACATTCTTCTGACCCAGGGGATGGGGTGGCAGGGTCAGGATGAGCAAGTGGAAGTGGTCCCTGCAAACATGGACATTATATCCCAACAAGGGAGAGACACAGGACACATAGGTTTGAGCAGACATAGTCTGGCTGGGTATGGTGGCATGTGTCTATAATCTCACCACTTGAGAGGCTGAGGCAGGAGGACCCAAAATTTGAGGCCAGCCTGGGCTACACAGAGAGACCCTATCTCAAACCAAACAAAACAAAACAACTCCAAAGATACATATAATCTTAGCATACCAGTGAGTCTGGGTCACTCTTAGGAAGTGTGGTTCGGAGATGACAACCAATGTGACCGTGGTAATCACTTGTAAGAGGAGGACAATGGTCAGCATCTTGTATACGCACTTTTGGCCAGTGTGAGAAACAGAATTTGGCCTTGGCTCTGTGGTGCGAGAGAGAGTGCATTGGGCTTCTAGACAGAGATAAAATTTGAGAGACTGAATTTTGATGATGTGGGAAAAAATGACTATTGTCCTTTCCCCAGCGGGGGTCTATGTTGGGGCGCACGGTAGTCACCTCATTAGCGTGACCTACTAGACTGGTCTTCAAATGCATACACATACAATGCCTCATTGAGTGGGAAAGACTACCCTGGGTTAGGATGCCCAGGTGCCACAGAGCCAGGGGTTTAAAAGAGGAAATGGGTAATGGAGTGTGCCCACCAAAGTTATCTCCTAGCCCCTGGTCTGGAACATTTGGAGTTAGCTGAGCAACGGACGACTGGAAGGGTGGGGTACGTGTGGGGGAGGGGTGTTCCGTGTGGTCCCGTTGAGGACGGAGTAGAAATTTTTGTCCTCTCTCAAGGTACAGTCCTGAGTTACAGAGTTGCGGTCCTTCGTGGTACACCCCTCCGCCATGTCAAAAGGGCTTTAGTGACAGAGCACCTGAGCTGATGCTGAAAGAGGAAGTCACCAGAATGGAAACTGTGTGAAAGATATCGGAGAGATCAGAAACACTAGGATAAGACCCAGGCCGAAAGCTAATCTTTCAGAGGTGAGACGGGACCACCATCTATTCACCCAACATAGATCTAGGGCTGATGCCTGGGTCTGAGGGCTCCGTGCCACGGACAGTGCTGCTGATGGACACAGGCCCCAAAGCAGCAACTGATTCACTAGGGCCATGTCAGTGATGGCCTCAGTGAGACACTTGGTCTCCTTCCTGTGCTTTCTACAGAAACTCCAGGTGGCTTTGAATGAGGCTTGGGGAGTGCTTCAGACTTGGGCTCCCCAGATGAAGGGTCTGAGGCTGGCGCTAATGCCGGGGCATTCTCGTGTCAGGATGGTAGCCACGTTGCTCTTAGGGATCATTTTTCTCCCAAACATACACTGTGACATGGAATCGGTGCATTACTCTTCCTACGAAATAATCATCCCCGAGAGTCTGACGCCCATGGAAAGTGAGGACCCAGTACAAAAGGCATCCTATATGCTACTTATGCAAGGCCACGAGCAGGTGGTTCACCTGAGGTTGAAGAGAGACTATTTTGTGGATAACTTTCCCATCTACAGTTACCACAATGGCATCCTGGGAAAAGAAATGCCCTTCATGTCACAAGACTGCCACTATGAAGGCTACATAGAAGGAGTGCCGCAGTCTTTTGTCTCTGTTAACACCTGTTCAGGCCTCAGGGGCCTCCTGAATATGGAGAAAACATCCTATGGCATTGAGCCCGTGCTCTCTTCCAAGCGCTTTGAACACGTCCTATACACCATGGCACATCAAGCTCGAGTCTCCTGTAATGTCACCTCCAAAGACAGCCAGGTGGTGTCCGCCAACCAGCAACAAGGGAGCAGGAAGCCTCCTAACCTACGGGCGCTGTCCTACTTGTGGTCACACACCAAATACGTGGAGATGTTTGTCGTGGTCAACAACCTGCGGTTCCAGATGTGGGGCAGCAACATCAACGAGACAGTCCGGGGAGTAGTGGACATCATTGCTCTGGCCAACGGTTTCACTAGGGGAATAAACACAGAGGTGGTGCTGGCTGGAATGGAGATCTGGACTGAGGGGGACCTGATAGAGGTCCCAGAGGACCTGCAAGTTACACTGAGGAGTTTCAATAGCTGGAGACAAGAGAGGCTCTTCCACCGAGTGAAGCACGATGTTGCCCACATGATCGTTGGACAGCATCCTGGAGGGCACACGGGCCAGGCATTTCTCAACGGTGCCTGTTCAAGTGGTTTTGCGGCAGCTGTGGAGTCCTTCCACCATGAAGACGTCCTCCTGTTTGCAGCACTCATGGTCCATGAGCTCGGGCACAACCTGGGGATCCGGCATGACCACTCGGCCTGCATTTGTAAAGATAAGCACTTTTGCCTCATGCGTGAAAATATTACTAAGGAAAGTGGCTTCAGCAACTGCAGCGCTGACTACTTCTACCATTTCCTTCATGAACACAAAGGGGCTTGCCTGTTTAACAAGCCACGTCACAAAAGCCGCAAGCGCAGGGCTTCCACTTGTGGAAATGGTGTGGTGGAGGACTCGGAGCAGTGTGACTGTGGCAGTGCCTGTGACGGTCACCCATGCTGTGAACCAACATGTACACTGAAGGAGGGTGCAAATTGTAGTAACGAAATCTGTTTTCAATGTCAATTTCGAATGAAGGGACACATATGCCGTAATCCTGATGGAGAATGTGACCTTCCGGAATATTGTGATGGTACTTCTGCAGAATGTCCAGCAAACAGACACAAACAAGACTGGACAACGTGTCTTGTAAATTTTTTCTGTCGTAATGCTCAATGCATGGACCCTAGTCAACAATGTGCACGTGTTTTTGGGTTGAATTCAAAGTCTGCCCCAAAAGATGTTACAGATCTGCGAACAGCAAAGGGAACCGATTTGGAAACTGTGGCCGTTCCTCTCCAACGGAGTATGTTCAGTGTTCAGAGGAGAATATACTGTGTGGGAAACTTATATGTACAAATGTTAATTTCTTACCACCAATTAAGCCTCATCATACACTAATTCAGATGCCACATGGAGATGACTGGTGCTGGAGCATGGATGCCTTTAAAAATGAAGATATCCCTGATGAAGGAGATGTGCAAAGTGGCATTTCTTGTGGCATTAACAAAACTTGCACGAATTTCTTTTGTGATAAAATTCCTGACACCACACTTGCCTGCAATCCCAATGAACTGTGTAATGGAAAAGGAGTTTGTAATGATTTAGGGCACTGCCACTGTGACCCTGGTTTTGCACCTCCTGACTGCAAAGATGAAGGAAATGGGGGTAGCGTGGACAGTGGTCCACCTGGTAAGCCAGAGAATGAATATCCAGAAGTTGATCAAAATGATGTTAGTACTACCAATACAAAAGACTCAAAGCCAGACTGGAAAATACAACTTATTCTCGCATTTTTGATACTACTCCTATTAGGTGCAATTATTGGGGTAGTCTACTATGTTGAAACTCTAAAGTCAGAAAAGGCTCCAGAGAGCACCCCATCAGAAGAGGCCTCAAAAGAAGGGGAAGAAGAAGAGGAAAAGGAAGAGGATGAGTCAGAGTCATAAGTAGAGGGGAGAATGAAGCCAAATGCATCAATGCCTCAAGCACCGAGTGAAAATAAAAGGATCAATGAAACAAAGATTAAGTGGGAACTGATGTCTCCAATGGCTTTGACTAGAACTCTATAGTCTAAAAGCATACTAATGTGAAAGGAGGGATTTCTCTACCTTTGTTATTCACTTTAGCAAATATGTGTTTATGTACTTATTAACTATTTTAGTATCTTTTGCTTTTTCATGTTTCATTTGAACTCATCACATGTATCTTTGGACATCAACATCCTTTTCTCTTTGAACCATTTTTTTCTGGCACCAGAAACTTTTCCAGGACATGCTCTCTTTCAAGTAAGTTTTTTGACACATAGTGCTATATTTTCCTGAATTTATTACTACTGCAGGGATTTTTATTTCAAGTAACAACTACTTATTATATAAGAACAATTTTCATGTGATTGATTGTTCTAACTTGCCCTATAATTGTATATTAAGGAGTTTTGAAATGCAAAAATAAATAAAACTGTATTTATGTTAGACATGCCTTCAAGTTCCATGTAGCAAAGTTATTGAGTCACTTTGTTCCATGGCTCTGTGGTAGTGGCTATGGTTGATAAAGAAGATCCTAACTGCTCCTGGGTTAGGAAGCCAGCACTGAGCCAAACATGGTGGTTCATATCTGTAATCTCAGTTACTCAAGAGGCAGAGATAGGAGTCTAGCCTACACAAAGTTACAAGACCTTACCTCAAAATCACAATATAAAACCAAAGGACTTTGGTGTATGGCTTGGCCTAGAATGTGCAAGGCTCTGGGTTCTAATTCCCAGTACTGCAACAAAAGAAGTCAGCATTAAGCTAGGCATAATGAGCATGCTTATAATTCTAGCATTCAGGAGGTAAGGCAAGGATGGGCTACGTAAATGACATACTGTCTCAAAAAAATCAACACCAAAAAGCCAGCATTGAAGGCAAACACCTCTCCAAATGTGGCAGATTTGTAATGTAACACACATATATTCAGTTCATTACTTCCCTGTATCTCCAGGTGTTCCCCACAGTCATATTCCCTTTTCTTCTAAAACATTTTTTAAATCCAGGACAGCTTTCAAAGTCCTTCAATTTTGCTAATTGTCAATGTTTCTAGTTGTGATGAATTTTGAACTCCCATACATCTCATAGTCAGTGAACCTAACCTAGAGTAGAGTTAGGTAACTCTTTAGACTAATTTTATAATAGTGTAGAGGTGCCTACTACAGCAATGAGTACATGAATGTAACTAAAATTTTTCTTTTTCTTTTCAAAAAATGTTCATTTGAATTATTAACAATTTAATAACAATCAGAAGGAACTTCTCTAGAGCAGATAACAGAGCTCTGGAGGTGGCAGTTACTTCTCTGGGAACACAAAACAAAGCAAATATAATACTAACAGTACTCTTTCTATGCCAGGCACTGTGTTAACCATTTTACATTCGTTATTTTAATTTAATCCTCTCAGGAATGGTCATGTAGCTCAGTGGTAGAGTGCTGGCCTAGCACACAAGAAAATTGGGTTGGATCTTCAGCACCAACAAAAAACAAAAACTCTTGACTTCCCAATAAAACTTCCATCTTGTTTAAGGAAAGGGATCAGAGTTTGCTTTGGGCTAGACAATAAGTGACAGAACCTGCATCCTTCCCCAGGCATGACTGAACCTACTGCTATTTCCATGTATCATGAACTTTTTCCTGCAGTATGTGAGGGGAAGATATTTATATGTACATAGCTGCCCAGAACATGCCTCTCTCTGACTCTGCTAGAACAAAAGCCTTAAAAGTACACACTGACCTCACTCAAAAACCTGCCACATTGTATAGTCATTATGGATTATAAAGTGCCTTTTCCCCCAAATGGAGCATGATAGCACAAAGTGGCAAGTTGGTATCATCATTCAGTTCTGGACCCAGCTGACTGCGGATGATCAGTAAATGTAGACCAAGTGAACTATTTAACTGAACCCAACCTTAAAAATGGGGAAAGCGCTAGCAGAGTGGCTCAAGTGGGAGAGCCCTTGCATAGCAAGCCTGAGGTCCTGAGTCAAGCCCCAGTTAAAAAAAAAAATAGGGCAAGCTGAGTACAGTGGTTCATGCCTATAATCCCAAGTACTCGGGAGGCTGAAGCAGGAGGATGGCTTAAATTTAGGATTTTAAGGTCAGCCTGGACCACAGGACGTCAACAACAACAAAAGCAGGGGACAAGAGTTGTGCTTTGCACAGTATTCTTCTTGCCAGTAGGTAGCCATTGTACAACCAAAGCCTTGCTCAGATCCAATATTGCTAATTTCTTACACTGTGAAGTAAATTGTAAAATGTTTATGAAGAGCCAAACTTTAGCCAAAGATGCTGAAGGCTGTTAGCCTACAGTAATGACAGGGAGAGACCAGTTTTAATGTTGATGGTAGTTGTAACTTGGGATCTTAAATGTCCAGATTCAAGAGTTAGAGTTTCTTTAAAACTCTGACAACAGCTGGGTATGGTGGTACGTACTTATAATCCCAGCATGCCGGAGGCTGAGGCAGGAGGAATTCGAGTTCCAGGCCAGCTGAGGCTACCTAGCAAGACCCTGTCTCAAAAAAGAAAGAAAAAAAACCAAAGCAACAGTCCTGGTGACAACACTCCGAATACTCTCCTCAGTGTGCTTGGGACATTGTATGTAGACGGCCTGTATGTTCCAGTAATCTGTGTTGACAGCCACTGAAGACCCACCAGGTGCTCCCACAGACACTCAGATGATGATTTCTTGCCAGCCCCTCCCTGCCTTCTCTGAGCTGCTCTTGTTCTCTCTGTGCTTCCTCAAGCCAATGAAGACCAATGTGCTTCCAACACTTCCCCAAAGAATAGCCACCCCCAGGTTCTAGATTTTTCTCTAGAAAAATGTGATTTCATAGTCCGTTTTCTTTCTGGCATTATTAATGCAAGAGCTAATAAATATCTGCTAGTGAGAGCTGATTGTGTCATATCTTTCTAACTCTGTGTTTAATGATATCATATTGGTAGCTAAAAATATGCCACAATAGAAGCATTTATACCATAGAAATAGACAAATAATACAAACATGGACTTTATTTTTTTTAAATAGAAGAGTACTAGCTGTCAAACACCAGCACTTCACCACAATAACTCCTAATAATACAAAGAAATTATAAACATCTACCCCGAACCCCAGGAATTTTGAATCTTTGTGAGCATAGTAATACTGTATAAACTTAGTAAGTGGTAATTTGTATAGGAACTAACTATAAGTTCCTTAATTGAGCAACATAAGTTCCTAACACCAAATAATGACCAATTGATTAAATGTGTGCCATAAATCCAAGGAATGTGACTGATCCTAGAATACTGAATCAACTGATTGCTGATTGTATTGAAACTACTGATTAAAATAATTTATTTTTATTCTGATTTGCTATTAAATAGAAAACCTGACATCAGTTCACTTGTTCGTATCTGTATTGATTCTTTGATTCATTTAAACATTTAAATTAAAAAATATTTATATGCTAGTTGCTAAAAGCAAAAACCAGAGATTCTGGATGTGAGGAAGTTAGAATCTGCATACACTGGTAGTGGGAACGTGAAACAGTACAGTCACTGTGGAACAAAATTTGGTAGTTTCTCAAAACACTAAATAAACCTCATTACCATGTAACTTAATTCCACTTATATATACATAATACACTCAAAAAATATGAAAACATATACCCATATAAATTTGTACATGAATGTTCATAGCAGTATTATTCATGAAAAAGTAGAAACAATGTGAATGTCCATCAATTATTAAGTAGATAAATAAAATGTGGCATATTCATACAACAGACAATTAAATAAAAAAAGGAGTACGGAACCAGGTACAGTGGCTCACACCTGTAATCCTAGCTATTTGGGAGATGGAGATTGGGAAGATCGTGATTCAAGGCCAACCTAGACAAAAAGTCAAAACTCCATCTCAACCAATAAAGACCAGGCATGGTGGTACATACTTGTCATCCCAGCTATGCAGGAAGTATAGTAAGTGGATCATGATCCAGGTTGGCCTAGGCATAAATATGAGACTCTATTCCAAAAATACCTAAAGAAAAAAGGGCCGGAAGTGGGCCCTGAGTTCAAGCTCCAGTATTGCAAAAAAAACAAAAAAATAAAAAACAAAAAACCCCAAAGATCAGCCATGGGAATTCATGCCTGCAATTCCAGCCCTTGGGAGACTGAGGCAGAGGGCTGAGATTAAGGTCAGCTCAGGCTATATAGTGAGACCGTCTCTCAAAAAGAGAATGAGTTACTGATACACAGTATAGTAGGAATGAACTCTGATAACATGCTAAGTAGAAAAAGCCAGTCACAGAGGCCACATAAAACATGATCCTATTTATACTACATGTTCAAAACAGGCAAGTCCATAGAAACAGAAAGATTAATAATGGCCTAGGGCTGGGTATAAGAAACTGACAGCAGTAATGAAAAGTGACTACTAATCAACACAAGTTTCTTTGTGGGGTAACAGACATGCTACAAAATAAAAACAATGGCAAAGGTAGCACAATCTGTAAATATTCCAAACCTACTGGATTGTGTACTTTAAGTGGGTAATTTTATAATATGTGAGTTTTGTGTTATACAGCTATTTTTTTGGTGGTGTTGGATTTCAAACTTGGGCCTTGTGCATGCTAGGCTAGTGCTCTGCCAGTGAACTATACCTCCAGCTCAAAACTGTCAATTTTCAAAGCCAGCTCCATGCTGGGAAAACTAGCATCATCACCAACAGACTGTGCTTTGGGCAGTGAGTTGTCATGGTTGTTACAGCAACCACTGTGCCTATTCTTGACCATTCTGCTGATAGCTGCAGCAGCCAGCCACTGCACTGACATCCTTTAACTTGAAACACAGCTAAATAGTTGCCCTGGGCCTGGCAAGGATTGGGGATTGCTGCTGTCATCCCTAAAGACCCAGGGCTTTGCTGGGCTGTGGTGGCCTCTG